TGAACCTCGCACCTACGCGTAAGCTGTTCGTTATGAATGTTGGCGTGCGGCGATGATGAAGGAGGTTGCTGCTCTCGAAGCTCAGGGGACATGGACCCTCGAATATTTACCACCTGGCAAGCGCGCTATCGATTCGAAATGAGTGTATAAAATCAAGTACAATCCGGATGGTTCAGTAGAGCGCTACAAAGCTCGCTTGGTTGCTAAAGGGTTCACTCAGCTCGAAGGGATTGACTTTCACGATACTTTCGCTCCTGTCGCAAAGCTGGTTACCGTGCGTGTTTTGTTGGCTCTGGCAGCTAAGCGCGGATGGTCCTTGCACCAGCTAGACGTTAATAATGCCTTTTTGCACGGCGATTTGGACGAGGAGGTCTACATGAAGATACCTCAAGGGTTTGCCAAAGCTGGTGATACTCGAGTTTGTCGTCTTCGGAAGTCTCTTTATGGTCCCCGCCAAGCGTCTCGTAACTGGTACACCAAGTTTACTGAGGCTCTTTTGGAGTTCGATTTCCGTGTTTCACGGGCCGATCCCTCGCTCTTCCTATATCAGTCTTCGGGTGCTTTCCTGGCTGTGTTAATTTATGTCGATGACGTAGTTATTACTGGTGATGACCTTGCCGCTATTGACCGTGTTAAGGCATTCTTGCACCACCGTTTTAGCATCAAAGACTTGGGCCCGCTGAAGTACTTCCTCGGCATCGAGGTCGCACGTTCTCCTGAGGGTATTCTGCTTTGTCAGCGTAAGTATACTTTGGACATCCTCGCCGACTCTGGTATGACTGTTGTTCGACCTAGTGCTTTTCCCATGGAGCAAAATCACTCTCTTACACAGCCTATTGATGACCAGACTGATGATGTCACTGCTTATAGACGTCTTATTGGCCATCTTATGTATCTCACCATCACTCGTCCGGATATTGCCTATTCAGTGAATTTACTCAGTCATTTTGTTCACAATCCTAGTCATGCCCATCTGGGTGCTGCTCATCGGATTCTTTGGTATCTTAAGTAGGCTCCTGGACAAGGTCTATTCTTTCCAGCGACAGGCTCTTTGGATCTCACTGCCTACAGTGATGCAGATTGGGCAGGGTGTCAGTTCAGTCGACGTTCCACGACGGGTTATTATATTCATTTCGGTGGTGCTCCCGTTTCCTGGCGTGCCAAGAAGCAGCGGGTTGTGTCTCGTTCATCTGTAGAGGCGGAATACCGTGCCATGGCTAGTACCACCAATGAGATACTTTGGTTGCGTTTTCTCCTCCATGAGTTGCAGGTTCCACAACATGCTCCTACTCCTCTCTACTGTGACCATCAGGCTGCCCTTCAGATTGCCGCTAATCCTGTTTTCCACTAGCGCACCAAGCATGTCGAGATGGACTGTTACTTTGTTCGGGAACGCGTCAGTTCAGGTGACATTTTGCCGCAAAAGATCAGGACCCACTTGCAGCTTGCCGACATTTTTACTAAAGCTTTGGGCACTGAGCAGTTTCACACCTTGTTGTCCAAGCTTGGCATTCGTAATCTTCATGCTTCAGCTTGAGGGGGAGTATTGGCAGTGTAGTTTTGGACCTCTTTGTAGGGTGTTTATTATTTGTGTTAGTTTGGTAATTGTGCTTATTGCCCACGTTGCATGTAGAGGGTATAAGTACTTGTGTTTGCCGAGTCTCTAAACCCTAAGTAAGAATAAGGGTTCGGCTATTGTTCCTGGAGAACTTCGTACCTAGTGAAGCTTCATTATGAGAGCTATGCTCTCCGTTGATTAGTCCCGATTTCTCGGGGATACCACGTTACATCGTTGTGTTCTTTATTCTTCCGCATTCGTTATTATTTTCACAATGTGTTGACTCAAGCAACTCACAACCCGATAAACTGAACCCGCCTAATCCACAATCCAATAAACTGGAAAGTCAACTAACTTATAAACAGATTGAACTCAACTCAAATCGAACAACCCGAACCTGCCCGATTGACACATCTATATACCGTTGGGTCAGGGGCGGACCTACGTTGGTGATAGGTTTGTCAACTGACAAACCTTGATTCAATTTTAGAATAAAATTTATTTGTAAAATTTTGATTTATTAATGGTGGTATTTGAATTCAAGACTATTTGACAATCCTTGTTAATTTTATTTTATTGTTGAACACCCTTAATGTAATTCCTAGGTCCGCCACAGCGTTGGGTCAGGTTAGCTCTAGCTAGGGTATATGATTATTCGGTCAGGTACGTACTACTCGTGAATTGGATTCCCAATTCAAAGAGTGCGATCGGGAAATAAAATTCTATTTGGGTTTCCGTCTGTGTCTATATTTGGGTGGTAACCATGCATCATCTGGGTATCTTTCTTTGACATATCTAATAAACGAATAAACTGCACAGAAACGGATCCCAGCCAGCTGATGAAGATGGATATATAGATACAGAGTCAACTGTACACAAGTGTTCTCTGTAAATTCTGAACCAGAAATTAATGGCTGAACAGAAAAGAGGCCCCCGAGAGGGTGGGGCATATAACCCATTTTCAAGGTATGAAAACGTTGATCAATTCTAATGATTTTGTTTAACGAATCCAAATGGGTATGTCGATAGACCTTTTGATTCAATCCAAGTGGCTGAGAGAGAGAATGGATTTTATCTTAATGTAGTTTCATTCTTCTTTGATGGAAATTCAGCATGTTTTTTAGATGCTCTGTTTTGGGTATAGTTTGAGTAAGTTGCATGGAATCTTATAAGAGCATGCAATGCTCCCCCCGCCTAATATTCCAGATCATATTTTCCAAGCTGAATCGTCTAAAGCCAAAGCCCGTTGAAAAGAATCTATAGCGGAAAAGGGAAAAAGAAAAAAGGAAAGGCAGGCAGGCAGGCAGGCAAATTAAGAAAGAAGGAGCCTCTCGTTGGAAACCGAACACTCTGTTTCTCTGCCGTTTCCTTTTCTTGCCTTTTTTGGGGTTATAAATAGCAGCCAAATTGATCAGTTTACTCATCATCAACACAACCAACATACAGAAGAAGCTTCCACCCTTCACCCCAGAAATTTCACTTAGCTCTGCTATCTCTCTCCATTAGCTACCAACCACCCCTCTCTGCCTCTGCCTCTGCCTCTGCCTCTGCCTCTGTCAAAAAGCAGAGAGATCAAGGAAAATAACTCTGCTTTTCCCCTTAAAGTTTTCTTTTTTAACAAACCATATAGAGCGAGCGAGCTAGCTAGCATGGAAAACAAGAAGCAAGTTGGTGGTAGCTCCTCTTCTTCTTCAATGGATCATCTTTTTGGTCCTAAGGATTCTTCTTCATCATCTTCTTCTTCCAGCTACTTCGGCGCCATCTTCCCCCCACCTTCCACGGTACTAATCATCCAACTGTTTTTCTCCTAATTAGCCACGTTAATTAATTTTGAAAATGTTCAGTTCATCAGCTGATTTTGGGTGATCATTGTAGATTATGGGAAGGGACGGCGGTGGTAACAAATACGCCGGAACTACTTCTCCTTCTGCAGGTATATAGATTGATATATGTCCTAAACTAGGAAGGATAATTTGTTTCAGTCTTACTAATCATACAGTACTAATGTGTTGATTATATATGAATTTGACAGAGAATTACAGCGCCCGTCATGGAAAGGAGAAAAACGGCGGCGGTGGGCATGGTGGGACGGTGGAGCCGTCGTGCTACTTGAGCTCATCAATCTACTACGGCGGCCAAGAGAATTACAACTCCTCTTCCTCCCCGCCTGCCCACGGGAACCCCGCCGCCGCCGCCCGTCACAACACTACTACCGACGACCCAAATGGCAACAACAACAACGCTAACTCTGCTTCTAGAGGCAACTGGTGGAAAGGTATACCTTTTGATTTCATTTCTGCCCCTTTCTCAATTGCATACATATAACACACTAAACAGGATCTCTTATCATGCAGGTTCGCTTTATTACTGATCTATAACGCCCGGCACCTAATGATCTAATTAAGGTATGAAGTTTAGACGTTATTGAGAAATGTTCTGTATTCCAAAAGTTTCGTTTTTTTTTTTTAAGACAGCGGTATTACTTATTGATCTGTACTTGTGCTGAAACTTGGGATCATGTGCATGTGCAGGGAACCCCCAAAAGCTAAGCTTAATGCAGCAGCAAGGAGGAGGACTAGTTTGCAATTTGCATGTCTACCTACCGAAATAAACAAAGATGGAATACTAGTGTTGATTTTTAAAACCATAACTATATGTGTATGGAGTGTGCTAGTGTCGATGCTGGTAGAAGTTAGCTCGGTATAGAAGAGATAGACGAGTAGTCGATCGGCTGGATGGATGAATTGTAGATCATGATCGATCATCATCATCATGCGGCATGTGAAATCGATACGTGCCGTTGTTTGTTGGGTTCTTTTTGTCCCAGCAAATTAGTTGTTGTGTGAAGTGTCTCTATCTGAGTGTTTGTTCTTTTTCAGAACTAGTTCTGTTAAAAATGCCTCGTTCACTAACTTTTGCAAATTGCAAGAGGAGAAAATGATATTGCACTATTGATTCGATTTGGGTTGTGACTTGTGAGAGTTGGATTGTTGGAGCTGTGACAGTGAGAGGATAGTGGGCCTTAAATTGTTGGGCTTATATTTTTGGTCCGCCACAAATTATCCATCCAATTAAAGACCCAATTCCCATTGTTGTCCAAAGAATGAAACCAATCATTTGGCATGGTCACTTTCTTCCTTGCGGCTCCGGAGTGCAGTATACGTGTACACCATTTGGCTTGGTCACTATAATAGTTACACTACCTCATTGCTTAGATAATCATGGTTTCAATAATATTCAGATGAATATTGGTATGCAATAATGCAAATATGTTGTTTCCAAAATCCGAAAGATAGTCTGTTGTACTAAGCAAATTTCTCGCCAACCAAACCAACGAAATCCATTATCGACAAGAACAATCCAGGAAGTCGAGCGTTCAAACCAGTGGTTTTTAAGCTTAGCAGGATAGAACTTCATTTGATTCCATCTCAATCACTTCCTATCCTAATGGCATTACCCCAGATCAGAAAGCTGGCAACTGCCAACAAATTCAAAGGCCAGATCTGGTCTTTCCGGTTAGGTTACGGATTTACTCGAAACCCACTTTCAGAGGGTTAAAATCAACAAAAAATGATAAAACTACACAAAACCAGCAGCAAAGCAAACATTTTTACTTCTTATGATCCAATCATTATTCATTATTTGGGATAGATCTGGATGTCACAGCAGTAGTACATATATGCTTGAGCTAGATCAACTAGCAAGCAACAACTCTGTAACACTCCAGTTCATCAGCACAACTAAGTACATAAAACATTATACAAAGGCCACCACAGAGTCCACAGTTCCAGCTCCATAACTTCAAGGCAATGTGTAATCTGCAACATGAAACACAAACGAACCAACAACGATCAGATATAGAACCAACAGAATCTTAGAAAAGAAAAACAGAAGGGTTTAATCTTTGCAGCAGAAACAAACTGACCTCCACACTTGTAACCCACAGGGCGGTCAGCGAGGTTGCAGCGTTTGGGAATGGCCATGGCAACCTCAGGCTTCACGCCAGAGCTCTTCGCAGTGTTGGAGAGCATCACAGCACACAGGCAAGCCGGGTTCTGGCCGAGCTTCTTCACTTGAGCGCAGCACTGGCTCGAAACAGCAGCGTTCTGATCCTGTGCAGCCGACGCACAAGGAGCCAGCTTGAAAGCTTCCCTGTCAGGGGTGGTGGATTTCCCACACTCCCCTGCTCCATCCACAGCAGCAAACCCAGATATCCCAAGAAACACAGCAAACACAACAAGGCACATGCAGGACTTCATTGAGATGCCAGCCATGGCTATTTCTTTCCTTTTTTCTTCTCCTCTCTTGCTAATTTCCTTTTTCTCTTCACTCTCAAGTACACTACTACTTCTTTGCTCCACGGTTTGAGCTTGTGATCGTTGAAGGGTTTTATAGAGGGACTGAAGGGAATGAAAACTGCCAAGGTGCTTACACGTTGAACTCCATAAGCATCATAGTGGCGATAGCACTACTATGAATGTGGCAAAAAATAAACTTTTTTTGTTTAGTTGAGCTACCTACTGCTTTCCACCATGGATTCTAGAACAAGCTTGCTTTGCTTTCGGCAAAAATTCCTATTAAACTAGCAATGGCGGTCAGTGCAATCCGAAACAGCTTCTACTCACAAAAATAACATCATCTATCAATTGCCCCCAACCAACCACACATAGCATCAAATCAAACCCAAATCCAATTTCACATCCTTTCATGTTTCCGCGGAATGCACACAACCTATTCGATCTATTTCCCCACTGAAACTAAAACGGGGGAAAAAACAGAAAAATGACGAAATCTAACTACAAAAGCGGCCCGCTGCTAGCGAGTGAAAGCGTAGACAATGAGCGAAGTATAGATCAAGATAGCAACGGGAACAAAAATCACCAGCGGGACAACGGCGGCGTAACTGTGGTAGCTGCCACAGCCCAATGTCCCGAGCTTGACTTGAACCACGTTGACTAGAGCCAGCATCAGAAACACGCACCCCAAAGCAGATCCGATGCCGGAGATGAGCATTCCGATCCGAAGGATGTTCTTGTTGACCTGGCCGAGGAACTCCGCAGGGAGATGGAGCGGGTTGTTCTGGGTAATGGAGTAACCGGGGGTTCGGGAGATCCGAATGGCCTGCTTGAGGGCGAGGGCGACCAAGCTGGAGAAGAGGAAGCAGCTGAAGGAGTAGACGTGGAATGAGATGAGATCCTCGCCGACGCTGCGGCTGGCGGTGCAAGCTGGGTCGCCGATTAGGGTGTCGGACGGGCTGGTCGGGTTCCAGGCGAGGCCGACGAAGACGGCGAAGGTGAAGAGGGAGTTGACATTGACGATGCCGTCCAGCGCCGTTATCTGGATGCTGGTCACCATGGTTTGCTTGCTGGTTGAGAGAACGACGAGAGAGAGGGAGATCGGAGAAATGGAAGCGAATAATTTGGGGTGGTTGTGGTTTTGAAAACCTCGGCGAAACTGGAAGTTCGAACAAGACGACAGGGAAAATCTGGTTTCAAAAGAACTGAAAAAATAAACGCCGTTGCCGGGGATCGAACCCGGGTCACCCGCGTGACAGGCGGGAATACTTACCACTATACTACAACGACCTTGATGTTCTGAAAGATACTAAAATATTAAAATTTTCTGAGAAACGAAGCTACAAGCCTCACTGAACTACAACAAACCTTTAAGTTATTTAGTAGTAAAGCTTTCACGTAACAACTAAGGGCATTTGGTCTAGTGGTATGATTCTCGCTTAGGGTGCGAGAGGTCCCGAGTTCAATTCTCGGAATGCCCCTTTTTTCATTTTCTGTGTACCGAATAACGAAAACCTTGTTGCTCCAAAGATTACAGTTACAGGTTCTGTTTTGCATTTGTGGGGAGTAGAAGAAGAATGATACTTGTGAAACATATTGAATGAACCTTCATACAATGGTAATCGTGTTTGATATAACAGCCAATACAACGAAACTCGAGCATATTTCCTACAATGAACACAATCCTAACCCCAAGCATATACCAAAAGAAACTCAAGACACACTATACTTTTGGAACAACATTCTGCAGAGGCTTGTTCTCGTTCTGGCGCGGCATGGAGTTCTTTTCGTGGGATCTCCGGTCTACGCACGACGACGCGTCTGTTGGGATGCCGCAGACTTTCGATTTCGTGTCAACGCCCAGATAATTTGTCAACGCCCTCTTCACACCAAAACCACGGCGAAGATTCCGATTCACGTTGGTAGTGGCGGCGATGGTGTTGGTGGTGTTCACGAACGGAGTTCTCTCCCCTCTTGCGGGGCTGATCAGGGGAGCCGCAGGCGAGAAGCTGGGCGTGCTGCTGAAACTTGCTTTGTAGGGAGTGCCTACAGAGAATGGGATTGAGAGCTTCTTCTTGTGTGCAATCACACTGACTGTTGCTACCGATGAGAGTTTGTTGTCCGAGCATTTGGTCAGATCATCGACATATAGCAAGTCGTCGATGCGTGCGACGATGTTGAATGCCAAGCTCTCCAGTACTCTTGAGTAGCTCTCAAGAATGGATTTCCCCACATCCTGGAAATGTTGGCAGTAAAGTTAGAGAAGAGTTTGAAGTAGAAGTGATTTGACTAGTTGAGGGGGTTTGTTTCAATGCTGGGATTTTTTAGCCCACAAATCACTAGAAAAGGGTTCACCTTGTTGAACTGGATTTTGCTGGTGTCCAGTGTAGTCTGAGTTAGATTGGGAAACCGCTGCTTCAGCGAAAGCAAGAGGCTTTCTGCTCGTTCTGCAAATATTTCCCTCTTGTTATCACCATCGATCATCAAGTCCTTCATCATCTCCCATGACGTCCTGGTAGTAGACCGGTTTTGGAGTGTGGGCGGTTTCGGGTGATGAGCTCTTCGTCGCCATACATAAACTGCAGATTCAACCCGGTTCGCGAGGTCCAAAGCGACATGTTCGGAAGAAAGGTCGAGGCAGTCGAGTAGGCAATCAGCATAGAACTGATCTGAAGTTATGTATCGATATATGAAGTCTCCAAGACAAGCTCTCCCATTCTGTGAAATTGGCAAAATTATCAATTTGAGTTGTGCATTGTTCTTGATTAATCGGAGGGAAAATTCATCATTCATTTGCTTTAAATTTGTTCATACCTTGGGAAGGGATTCCAAGAAAGAGTCAGGAACATCCATTTCGATTAAAGCAGTGGCGTTGATCGCCATGGCAGCTTTGAGTATCTGATTTGTGCACTCACGAGTGTGGTTCAACTGCTTTCTTGAGTTTTCACTTAGACCTCCAGCAGGGACTCGTGGCACCGGTAGCCACCATTTCTCCTCTTGCCGTTGAATAGCTTTCCGAAAGGAAGCTGAGCCATCCGCATCTGAAGCTACAATCCCTTGATCAACATACCAGAACTCCGTGTGGGTGAAACTATCTAACACTTCCTGCGAAATGAAGGGTGAAACAATAAGATTGAGACTTTAGAATGATCATGTGTTTAGAGAAAATCACAATCGGATAAAATCAAGGTTTGACTGTCTTACAAGAAGCATGTTGTCAAGCTTCCTTAGAGCTGGGAGATTGATGAAAAGGTCTGATCTGGGTCTGCAAGTCATGACCTGTAAATGGAAGATAATGAAATCAGTAGACATATCCAAACAGCACCACGCCTTTCATTCCATTGATCAAACTGAATCATTGCCCCTGCAAATTTGAATTTTAAACTTAACGTCACAATTAGAATTACCTCGAGCTTACTGCCGTCAGCATAAGTTTGCCAAGCAGGAATTAACTCTACTATGTGATTGGCAACACAGAGAAGCAATTCGATCTCCCTTCTCCACAATGACTTCTTCTCAGGAGAGATTGGCTCAAGCCTCCACAGTTGCCCAAACACAGTAGCTACAGGAATCCCCAAGCAAAATCCCAGTAAGCAAAACGCAAAGAAGAAAAGGAAGGCCCTGCAGAAAGCGAGAAGGATAGAACCCTACCACAGAGATTGGTAATAGCATTGGAGATAGCCATAGCTGTGCAAACCCCTCTCCCAGAACCTGACATGTCTTCTCCGAGCAACAATTTTGCGAACCTCTCCTTCATCAAATCCGCATCTACAAAGAAATTCAGACCAAACTATGAATGGGCAGGAAAAGTTGAATTGAATTAAGGGGGAGGGAAAGAAAAACAAGAAAAACCAACCAGAATTCCTCGAGTTGAGCTTGTGTAAATTCGAATCCTCTAACCAAGTACCAGTTCCCTCGTCTCCTCCAATGGCACCGCCGGATGACAACAAGCTCTTCCTCTCTCCGGCTTTCTTTATCGGCCAACCCAAAGGACCTTTAGAGGAAGGAGAACCACACGGCCCAGCACCAGCAGTGCTCCGTCTTCCCTCGGAGCTCAACTCCCCACAGTTGCTACTGCTGACAGCAGCGGAGTCAGACCCATCTCTCCTCTTCTCAATTCCTCCGCTGCCCTTCTTCGCCACAGTGGCCATCCTTCACAAAATATGAAAAAGCAACAATCTTTTGCAGCTACCCCAAAAGCCCGGATTCTTCAAAGATTCAGCTCGGCCATTCTTCAAACAGTTGGCGAGCAAAGCAGAGGAAAGTGGGACAACACCAGCCACAGCCACTAGTATCCGTCTTCGCTCTCAATTGCTTGCCGATGGGCCGGTGCTAGCATCTGAGAAGGCAGATGTCCAGTGGGTCATCCCAATTTGATGATGTGGCGATGGAAGAAAAGGGGGAATTCAGATTCTGGTTGGGTTTATCTCGGTGTACTTCTAGTCCCTTTGTCTCTCCTTCTCGGAGTTAAGGGGGTGGGACTGAAATTTGATTTTGAAGACGGAAAAAGAAAGTGAGGGAGAATGAACGGGTTAGTGGCAAAGGAGCAGTACATGCGATTGGTTGAAAGGGCCTAACGTCTCTCTGTGTTGTCTGTCTCTGAGCTTGCTTGCTTGCTTACCTGCTCTCTGAACTGTGGAAAAGAATATTAAATTTCAAATTTAATTCTCAAATATTTTAAACTAGTTGCGCTTTTTCCCCGCAGCCTAATAAATGAGCGAATTGATGAACCTCGTAATTCCTGCGAAATTTTCAGTTGTTTCTGCAACTTTAATCGTTGGATGGAAAATGCATGTATTGTGTCTGTTGTGGTCACAAGCTTCACAATATAATGGAGTTAGAGTTGGTTAGCTTGTTAATCACAAACATTATGAATTTGTCTATAAATCACATGTTTTTAGTTTGCTTTGATGGGTGCCAAATTTGTATATTCCACGAACTTATAAATCTCATACCACCTCTTGAGATTTTATTGGGTGACCAAATCCTTGCTGAACAATTACTCTCATTGTTCATCTAACAATCAATTATTCAAACTCTACCCTTGTTGAAACTAGTTATGTTGATTATATGCGGTTCAAGTTGATGGGAAAATAGTGGTAGTTTATTTTCTTTCCCGATAAAATTTGGGGTTGTTTTACTTTTAAGACGTTGTATTTATGTTAATTCCTTTTAATAATTAAGTTGCTTGAAATTGTTATGCTCTATGTGACAGTCGGTAATGGCAGTAACCACTTTAGCTAGAACCAAAATTGAAACCAACGTTTGCTCCTACTATTCAAAATGAAATGATTGGATATGTGTACAAGTCCAAAAAGAAGTGGCTGCTGATCTTTAAACTATCGAATATTTGATGACTACGTGAGGAGAAAAAACCAAAAAAAGCTTCATGGCATTTGAATTCAGGGGGGAAAAGGTTGCATGCTATGCTACTGCTGCCCACGGAAAGGCACAAGCTAAGAATTTGTCCAATTATTTTATTTCAAATGGACAAATTAGGAGAAACATGGGATATACTTTTTATCAAAATCACAGTGTTCAATCTAATGATCTTTTTTTTTAGGCTTAATTGTAAGTTTGGTCACTCGAATTGCTATAAAATTTCACGTTTGCCACTCAAATTAATTTATTCCATTTATAGTCACTCGAATTAGTTGAACAGTTCAAGTTCGGTCACTCTCCGTTAACCTCCGTTAACTTTGACTGACGTGGCAGTCAACTCTGACAGTTGACCGTTAAATGTGTGACGTGGCAAATAAAAAATAATTAAAAAATAAAAAATAATTTTTTAGAAATTACACGTCATTATCACAAAAAAAAAATTATAATTGTAAAAAATGAAAAATAAATTATCACAATGAAAAAAAAGGACTAAAATATTATTCCTTATGATAACATTGTAGCTCGATCGGAACAGCATCGCTTCCACCCGGAAAAACGCCGCCGGAACCGCCTTCAGGATGCTGTACAGGAAGGACTCGGCGTCGGCCAGCTTCGCCGGGTTGCCGTCGAATCGCGAGATTCGGGAAGCTTCCTCCTTGGTGGGCGAAATCTTGGCGAGCTTCTCGAGGATATCGGGCGAACTCTGTAGCCTTCCTGTAGAGCGCTCAGGATTTTGTTCTGCGTGGTTGCTAACGATTTCAGGACGATCGCCGCGTTCAGGGATTTTCTTGGGTCCAGGATAAAGATCGGGGCGTTAGATGATGGAGTGCTTCTGCCGCTTGAGTTCGCCGATGATGCATCGTGCATTGGGGTTCCCCATCCTCTGTTTTTGGTAGTTTTCTCTCTTGGCGCCGTCGGCGGCCGGCTTGACGCAGACGATCCCCATCCATTCCCTGGATTGTTATTAGATCTATCTTTATTAACGAATTCCATCGGTAATGGCGGTGGAGGCGGAGGCGGTGGCGGGGCAGGAGGGAGAGAATTCGCCGGAGTCGACGGCGGCACTGGAACAGCTGGCAGAGTGGAAGAAAACTTCATCGGATGACAAGAAAACTTCATCGGATGACAACTTCATACACTGAGAGAGCAGACATATAGAAGACGCAAGTCAAGCGAGAGCATAGACCGCTGGGCAAATTCTTGATCAACAATTTATCAACAGGATATTTCTAGGCTGCGAAGTCTGGATTTAAAGTAAGCAACGTTGAAAACAACAAGTTGTACCAGCTTCTTACGAATGAAGTTTTCATCCGATGAAGTTTTCTTGTGATAATTTTTTTTCATTTTTTACAATTATAATTTTTTTTGTGATAATGATGTGTAATTTCTAAAAAATTATTTTTTATTTTTTAATTATTTTTTATTTTCCACGTCACATATTTAACGGTCAACTGTCAGAGTTGACCGCCACGTCAGTTAAAGTTAACGGAGGTTAACGGAGAGTGACCAAACTTGAACTGTTCAACTAGTTCGAGTGACTATAAATGGAATAAATTAATTTGAGTGGCAAACGTGAAATTTTATTGCAATTCGAGTGACCAAACTTGCAATTAAGCCTTTTTTTTTTTAATTCCACATTTTGTTGGTATTGACAATCTACTATGTTGTCATTTTAATTTTTACATTTTGAAAAAGTGAACATATTGTGGTCGTTTATTGCTCGTCTACCTTACAGTAAGTGATTAATTAGTTATTCAACTTAATTCTGTTGGGTATTGAAAAAAGTGTTGTTTTGTGTCAAAATATTTTCGCACTTCCTTCTTAATAAAATAGTCTAGCATACTGATCAAAATTTACTTATGATATTATTATCTGCTCTCAGACACACAAAAATTGACAAGTCAACTTATATAAGTGACATCTGAATTTGAATACCAAAATCAGGTCAAGTAGTTAGGTGTTCCCTGACTTAATTAGCAATGCAGGTAGGTGTCGGGACTCGAGTAATGTTCTGTGACGGCTCCTTCGTTTCAGACTCTCTCCCGGCGGCTTTATGGGATTACTATTGTTGACTCTCATGGTCAAGTGTATGATGGCAAGGCTGAGATTTTCCTGTGTTCTCGTTCGATTCAACCAGAAGCCTTCGATCTTCTTAATGCCATATTGCTCGCTACGCAAGAACCGACACCTGCCTGCATTCGCACGGATTGTTAGATGTTGTCACTTGCCCTGCAACAAAATCTTTCCTCTTGGCCTTGGCTCTGTCGAGCCTCCCTGGCTCGGATGTCATCCATCTTGTTGTCATCTCCTCAGATTCGTATGGAGTTCATCCCTCGATGGTTGAGCAAACTTGCAGATTGGGTGGCTTGTCAGACTAGGTCGTTGTGTTCACTATATGCGGAATGGGTGTTAATTTGTAATATTATTGATCCGCTTTTGTAACGAAATTTTTGTGTATGATTCATCGAATGAAATATACCGTTTCTTATTGTAAAAAAAATTAATAACGTCCCTCTTTTTTTAAAAAAAAAAGTTCTTAATAACATCCCCAATCATTTGGTTTTGCCTGATAACAAGAACTAATACTAAACAGCCGTCCCCGTTATCCCACCCAGATAGCTAAGGCAGGCTTGCTCATCATTTTTATCATCTTTTTCTTTTTGACAAGGTCATTTTTATAATCTGAAGAGCAACTTTTCCCAAACGGAACGGATAGTTTTGTTTGATTTCACCCGGCGGTTGTTTGCCGGCGTGACCCATTTGTTATTATACTGCTTTTACTTTTCAACTCTGACCTCTTTTCCAGTTTTGTTCGCACAATCGCAGGTTAGTAATTAAAAGATATGATTAATATCTAATGAACCCCTAAGGCTGATTACCTGCAACGGCTATAACTTTCGGAAGGAAAGAAAGGCAAAAGCTATATAAAAAACTTGCTCCTTTGACTTCTCTCGTGTCCAAACCAAGATTACCTTATTCTTTATGAATATGAGTCATGTCACTTAACAAGAGTCGGGTGAAGTTGGATAATACCCGACAAAGCGAGTTCAAATTGTCATTACTCTTTAGTCTTTACAAATTTGCATCACTCCGATATAAATTTGAAAATTTAAAGGCGCGTTCTTTTTCAGCGCTATCCTTAGTTCTGCTCGTCTCTCAAGCTTTGGCATTTTACATTTCACATCCTCCTGTCCATCTTCACATTAAGACCAATGCTTGCAAAATCAAAGATTGGACCACTTCAAACCAATCCACTCAATTTATGGGCATGCACTTATCAATTCACCGTATTATTTTCCCTATCTACTCTAGTACTTGACTTAAAGCCCAAACTCTTACCAAACTTTCGTAGAATAATGAGTTTGAATCCTACCACAGTGTTAACCACAAGACGCGTAGCGGAAACATGCGATCGATTGTCTCGTCCTTTTAACATGTCATTAGGGATTTGAATCATTTGATTCTATCCCATCAAAATGAGATTTACTTTGACATTAAGCAGTAATACCTCTGACTTCAATGGATCAAAATACCAATGCAAAAGAACTGAAATAAAATTGGGAGTCGGACTTGTAAAATTCGAAAAATGTGCACAATCTCCATGGGCCGTTTATTTGCTCTGCACTTTCACCTTCCCTAATTTGGGCCCATCTTTAACTGGGCTCAGAACTCACGGCCCAAACCTCATCAAAGAGGAAGCAATGAATTGACGACCGACAACCGGCAATCACAGCGGCTTCCAGGCGCCCATTGCGCTGCGAACAGCTCACCGCACCGCCCAAACCCCAACAAAAGAAAATTCTATCCAAAAATAATAATAATAATTAAAGGAATGAAAGAAATTCTAAAGGTAAACTTTGTAAAAGAGAATGTCAATTCAAACGGAAGCCAAAACGAGTAGTCCCCTGCAGCCGGAACTCCCCTGAGTTCTTCTTCTTCTATCCTTCTCTAATTCCCTCCAATTATCCTCCTTCTTCGATCATCCGTTCCAGAAAAAAAAAACGTAAAAAAGGTAAACGTTAATCTCTTTCAAATCCTTGTGTTTGATCTTCCATCATCAGCTGTGTATCTGTTTCGAAGGTCTTCGTTTCTCCTGCGGACCAATCGGCTCTTCTTTCCCCTTGATCGAGTTCTGATTCATTTCTCCTATCTGGGTAACGCGATTCCGGGCGATTGCAATTACCACATCCGTTTCGTTCCTTACTTTGTTCACAAATCTGCAAGCTTTATGAATTAAGGCCTTGATCGTTTCCGCCGGGCCAATTCCATTTCTGTGTTGATTTTGTCCACGGTTTGTTTGTTTGACCTTGGGCTAGCATGAATGAACGAGTTCACTTGCTTGCTTTGTAACGTCGGTAAGCGATTCGATGTTTTCTGATGAAATATCGGTGAATTGGATCCTTGTTAGGTGGGATTTTCGTGAAGAGCTGGAGCAATTGGACGCTCTAGCAGAAAGTAGACAACTGTTTTGGAATTTAAGCCTGATTTGTTCCATCCTCATCGGTGGATGATTGTGGACGATACTGGTGTTTGCGGTTTGTTTGCGGTTCGTCTGTGTCACCGATGTGGCCGTTGTATGTTCTGTTCAGCAAGATACTCAATGTAGAAGCTGCAGCAGAAGAAGAAGAAGAAGATGATGATGATGTCATTGATGGTATAGTCGGGAAATGGCATGACCAAGACTTATCCATGTCACACTTCGTTGAAGTGAGTGCTTTTAGATTTTGCCATAGCTGTTTCAGATTACAATTTAAGCCTGAAATCTATCTTACATGTGGGATCAATCCTCAAATTGTCATGGTTGGATACAGGTGCCGCATGTAAACCAGCTCCAGTCTTGGGATTGTGGTCTTGCATGTGTTGTAATGGTTCTGAATACCGTTGGTGTCAGCGATTGTAGCATCGAGGCTTTGGCAGACATTTCCAGCACCACTAGGTTTGACTTACATTTCAATCCCTCCTTCTGATACTGTTTAATCAGAGCTGTGGCTAGAGTTAGGATGAATCGCTTCATATCAATACTTTCCAGGAAGTTGATCCATGTTACTGGTTCTGTATCATACAGATATAAGGTTTGGAATTGATGTTACTGGGTGGCTTATCTCTTACATTCTCCACCTGAACCTTACCTTTGATTTCCTTTTTACAGTATTTGGACAGTTGATTTGGCTTATCTGCTAAAGAGGTTTTCAGTTAGATTTTCATACTTCACTGTGACGATTGGAGCAAATCCAAGCTACTCTGTTGAGACATACTATAAGGTTTGCTATAGTGTACAAATACTTTTCGACGTTTTTGATGATCGATGAAGCAATGGTTCGCGCTACTACTTGTCCTCATGTGTAATGGAAGTCTAGTTGAATGTCTGCAGGAACAACTGCCAACCGATGTACTTAGAGTAGATATGTTATTTGAAAAAGCTTCCGAAGAAGGGATCAACATACTGGTATGTTCTTTTCAGTTTTAGAACTAGTATTAATTTGATAGAACTGTGGATGTAAGTTGGTTCTAATATGAATTCCATTTCAAGGTACATGATTGAGTACAGATTAAACGAGGGTTTCATGATTTAGTCTTTAATCCTTGCTTTCTACAGTGCAGGTCAATTAATGAAAAAGAAATTTCCTGTTTAATCTTATCTGGGAAATATATCGTCATTGCGTTAGTTAATCAATACAAGTTGAGGTACATTTGCTTATAAACTTTGTTTCCGCGACTCTCTTTTTGTCGTTAATTTCTCCTTCTAGTCGAGTCATTAAACTCCTCCTGTATTGAAATATATGCTGCGCAGTCGCACGTGGCTAGAGGATGCTATCCTATCAAGCTTGGATGATAGCAACCGGGAGTATGTAGGTGAGTAGGAAAAACTTGCAAGTTGTAACACATTTCTCTTATCGATATGCTTAGTGTATAGGGTACCTTTTTGTTGCACTGTTTAGAATTGAGAATTTCTCACTATGATGTATACTAAGTTCTAACTTTTCATGTCCTCTTAGGACATTATATAGTGATATGTGGCTACGATGCTGATAGTGATGAATTCGAAATACGAGATCCAGCAAGTTCCAGGTACACTCCATTCCTTGTTTTATTCCCTGGATCTTCAAAACTTCCCATATTTGCGAATAAAACCATGTGATCTAGTCGATGAACCAATTTTCGAATGCAAAATGCAGGAAGAATGAGAAAATTTCATCCAAATGCTTAGAAGAAGCACGCAAGTCGTTCGGAACGGATGAAGATCTTCTTGTGGTGAGCTCACTATCCTTCTCATCTCACCACCAAGAAGTCAAGTCAATCTTTCCCTAGTTAGTTAAGTAAGCTTAGTAAGTTCTCACCTGGTCTGGATTCCATTTGTGAGCAGATATCTCTGGAGAGCAGCAACAAACAGAAGAAGAGTTGTTGGGGGAAACTTCCTCCACTAATAAATATCAACAACACATAAATTCCATTGACAAGTCATTCTTTGCTGTCTGCTGATCAGCAGCAGGCACGATGAACAATCAGGGTTGATACCAAAGCACATGGGGATCTGTCTGTCCATATGATACTCTTTTTCCCTTTTGGCCACTTTCCAAGCAGTTTTCTTTTGTTTCTTCCCCTTTTCTGTTCTGTGTGTGTCCATAATAATTTATACAGATAGCGTCCAGAAATGTATTTGGGGAGTGAAGTAAATGTACAAAAAAAGGAGAGACAAAATAAAAGAGCAAAGGGCTCTGATCTGATGATACAGTCGTGTCGCTGTTGTACTGTATACCACATAATACAAAGCCAAAGCTAAAGCTGATTCCGTGTGGATTCTTGGAATCAAAGTCGCCATTGTTGTGTTCTTTTCCCATTTCTCTAGTCTCTTTTCGTTCTCACTTTGTGTATTTAGTTCGGCAGCGTCGATCATGGCTTCTTTTCCTTCATCCACTTTTTTTTCGTTCGGTGCACTCGTCTCATAACTGTTATTCCGAGTATGCGATTAATGTCAAAACGGTATAGATCATCGCTGATGATATTATGAACAATAAACACATGAATTTGCAAAAAAAAACATTCAAGATTTACTTTCATTTAAAGGATTTAGGGATTTCGGGTTTGGGTTTACAATTTGAGATTTTGGGTTGGGATTCAAAATCGAAGGTTAAATGGTTAGGATAATGAATTGGTTAGTTGTGATTATATGTTATATTATCATATTAGATCAATGTTATCAATTATAATTCAAAATTTGATGTATTATGGTCAGTTTTAGAGTTAGATGCATTGAATGCACATAAAAAAAGTGAGTACACTGAAGTCATTGGTGCATGAAGTAACCTATATACTTAAGGAATACATGAAGTATATATCACTATGAGTACATGAAAATTAAAACTATTTCAGGAGTATAACATGTTGACCCATGAAATAAAAGATAAAAGGTTGGAAATTGTTATCCTCAAATTTAGGTGCATGCATAATATTATATAATATTATTAAATTTTCAAGTAAATTAACAATATATAGTCTTTCATTGATGCTAGTCGTTAATTTAAGTGAATAATTAAACGCTAAATACATATAATTTCAAGGATAGTAAAATTTACAAGAAAATTATATTAGAAAAAGTAAGTAATAAAAATATTTTGTACTAAAACTAAAATTTAATTTTTATTCGACCGTTTCATATTTCTAAAAACGTACTCCCAATATACTTTCTAGCATAAATTTTTTTTCCTGTTGAACTGTGGATACCGTAAGATTTCACAAATACATTTAACAACTCTAACAAATTCAATTTTTAGTATATATATGTGAAGAGAAATTTTACAATACTATATAGAAGTTTTTGTCTTTATAGTACAACTTAAAATTGTACATGTGAAATGAATTCGGTGTCGTGACTGGTGAAGGTGAGTGAAGAATAGGGTAAGGCAGGTTGGGTCGGGATTCGGGAATGTGGACGGGCCGGGGGATTTGATTTGCGTGCTGGTGGTGGTGGGGAAGCGCGTGATGGGCTTTAATGCCAAATGTCGATGTGCCGCCGACTGCATGCGAAATCAAATCCCTTTCCTTCCGTTTCCGTATGACAAAAAAAAAAAATTAATCAAATCCCCCAAAATTAATATATATATTCGGGTCGGGTGGGTACCCACATCGAATCAATGCCGCTCGTCACTGTAGGCTATAGGGTTTCCTCAAACCTCAATCAATCTACTACAAGTAGGGGTGTACATGGGTCGGGTGGTTCGGGTTTAGTCATTTTAATCACCCGATACATGCACTACGGTTTGGGAAATATCAAACCCAAACCCACTCAAAAATATTTAAACCCTACGGTTTGTTTCTAATTGGGTTGGGTTGGGTTGGCGATATTTTTAAGTAAAAACCCAACCCAACATATATATAATTATTCTACATCATAAAAATATTTTATAACTAATTAAAATTTCAAACGAATGAACCAAGGTGAAAGGTATGAAAATTCACAAATGTTGTTTAAATTTTAATAAAATGTAATTTTCTTCAACATATGTCTTGTTTTTTCACGATATTTGTTGAAATAGGCTAAAAATGTTATAAACAAACACATCCATCATATGTTATTCTATTAAAATTGTAACAAGAAAAAGGATTACGTGAATCATAACTATATTCAATTTATGTCTAAACTTTAAGTCGAAGAATGCATTAGATTAGGGAGACCATGAGAGAAAAACATGGTGAAATATCTTAATTTTCTCATAAGTATATGACTATATAGTACATAAATATTTTTTAGATTCAAACTCATACTAATAGTGGAACACGGGTTGGGTCGGGTTCTACGGGTTGTGTAATCCAAAATCCAAACCCAACCCAAAAGAGGCGGGTTGTACAAAAGAAAACCCTCACCCAACCCAAAACCTTCGTTTTAGCGATAAATACGGGTGGGTTGGGTCGGGTTGGACGGGTGGGTCGGTTTCCGGGTGTGTTTGTTCACCCCTAACTACAAGTGGAAGTAATAATAACTCGTATTGATATTATATATATAATTGCAAGACTTGCATAAGTAAGAGAACAAAATTTAAAATAATTTTAATACTAAAAAGATTATAAAATATTAATATAATAATTTCATATATATCTCTTATAGTCTAGTGGTATATGTATACATATAACCATGCAACACATCTAGAATATTCACATATCTAAATACATCAATTGTTTAGTACTAAGGGTTAACATATTTGTATGCCCTCAACTTTGACCATAATAAACATTTTGCTTAATCTTTTCGATCTATATCATCCTGGCCCAAACTAGATGTCAAAATAACTATATTGGCCAAACCAGATGTTTGACTGTTATCTTAGATGGTCAAACGCGTTGACTAACGACCAACATGTAATGTCATCGCCCGGTCATCATAAAAATCACTAAAATATTCGCAATTTACACATTTTTTTCTAATTTTGAATTATTACAAATTAAATTAAAACAAAAATTAAAACAAAAATTGAAACATCCACCCGTGGCTGCCCTCTGTCTACTCCCCCAACCTCTTCTTCGATTTCCGATTTCCCAATTGCCTCTTCCTCCTCTTTCTGATTTCCCTATTCTCAAGGTCCGTTTCCAACTTCAATTACCGTCCATCAATGAAACCCCTCTGACTACCGGGTCCAAGAGGAGGAGCAGTTCAGCCGGTGTCTGCTCGATTGCAAAGAATAAAGCGGTCGATGAAGGGAATGCGGGCGGCGGCGGATTTTGTGAAACAGGAAGCGAAAGAGCCTGAAGCTCCTCTCCCTATCACTCCCGTCACTCCTTTCCTCTACGCTCCCCGGCGGAGCGGCCAACTTGCTTCCAGATCATCGTCCATCGATGGAACCTCCAGGACTGCCGGGCGCAAGAGGAGGAGCGCTTCAGCCGGTGTCAACTCGGAGAATGAAGCGTTCGATGAAGGGAATCTGGCGGCGGTGGGAGTTGATAGCGAAGAAAACGTGGTTGCTGAAGGGATGAAACAAGAAGCGGGAGAGGAAACCCCTCTGACTACCGGGCGCAAGAGGCGGAGTGCTTCAGCCGGGGTCAGCTCGATTGCGGAGGAAGGGAATCTGGCGGCGGAGAGGGTTGCTAGAGGGAGGGGAGCCACCAGTGGGGGTTTCAATTTTTTTTTTAATTTTGCTTTAATTTAATTATAATAATTCAAAATCAGAAAATATGTGTAAATTATGAATATTTTAATGATGACCGGGCGGTGATGTGACATGTTGACCGTTGGTCAACGTGTTTGACCGTCCAAGATAACGGTCAAACATCGGGTTTGGCTAATGTTGTTATTTTGATGTATAGTTTGGGCCAGGATGTTATAGATCAAAAAGATTGGTTAGAATGTTTATTATGATCAAAATTCAGATCATACAAATATATTAACCCTAGTATTAACTATAATGTGTGAAAACTCTTGTCCACAAGATTGGACTTGTTACACTCAAAATGATAAATCGGATATATTTTTTCATTTTTTTAAACACAGTTTTTAACCCAGAATGTAAAAATAGAAAGTATAAGCACATGTTCATGACCCTTCTATATATATATATAGAGGAGCCTTATTCCCTCAATCCTGAAATTTTTTTTAACAGCACACGAGGTAAAGTTGAGGATTTGTGCTTTCATTTGATCGAAACTGACTCAATTTTCTTAGACGACGTTTTTGTCCACACAACTCAAACGGTAGAGACAAAGTGGTTGGAAATTTGATTTTCTCGTGCATTTTCCACCCAACGTGAACAAATATGATAAGATAGTCATAAAATGGTGTTACAAGTAACAACAACTGGAATGAGAAGTAGAAATGAAGTTTAACGTCAACCAAGGCGAAGTTTCCAAATAATTTTCGAATGAGATTTAGTAGAACCTGAATTTGTTGCACACTTGCAAGGTAGTTAGACATAGACTTTTTAGTTTTTACAAATATGAAAATAGAATAGTGGATAGGGCAGGATACTATGACTACCCCAAAAGGGTTTGGGTTTTTGACACCCCCTCCTGCAGCTATCCACGTGTCCTTCATCTTTGGGTAAGTATTAATGATTATTGTTTTATTGGGAAGTTGTCATTATTATTGCTTTATTGGGAAAATTCTCATAATAATGATGCATGGGAAAGTTCCCATAATAATGATACACGGGAAACAACAATCTTTCATCTCCCCTTCTCTTCCTTTCAAATTTCTTTCCACCAGAACCCTCTCCCGGCGTCTTCTCAGTCCAGCAAACCCTCCCTCCGGCGGTCCACCCTCCTCGGCCAACTTCCATCAGTGGCCCAACTTATCGTTGCCTCCCTTTCCGCTGACCCTCTCCCGTCCCTCCGTTCCCCTTGAGTCTCCTCTCATGCGACATCGACTTCATCACTTCACACGGTCGGAAATCATCAAGATGATCTGGACGATTTCGTCTCTAACGTCGAGCATATGGAAGACGGCGGCAGAGGAAACGTACCAGTGGAGTGGTACGTGTACCAGTGGAGTGGTACGTGTACCACTGGATTGGTACGTGTACCAGTGGAGTGGTATTTGTATCATTGAAGTGGTACTGCATTGTTGCTCCGTTATTGTTTATCATTGTTATGAAAAATATCATTGCACTGGTATTGTTCTCACTCTAACCTACCTTGTGGATTGCTCGCACCAGTGGAGTGGTACGTGTACCAGTGGAGTGGTACGTGTACCAGTGGAGTGGTACGTGTACCAATGGAGTGGTACGTGTAATTAATGTACCAGTGAGAGAAATTAATTATGTAATTAATGGGGTGATTTCGTTTTTCCCCAGATTCTTTCTCTTTTCCAATGTGGTGAGAGACCCGAAATTAC